TAGTGCCTTATTTCCCTGTTTGTGCTTTGGCTTTTACCATAATTTCAAAATTGAAATCTATTTGATCCTTAAGATGATCAAAATTGTAATTTGTTCGAACCATAATATGGCAAATCATGGTGGCTAAACCTTAGGCTATTAAGGCTTTATGGTTCCTGTAATGAAAGAAAGGGTCAACCCATAATTTGATGAACTATGGTGACCGAACCATAAGTTACTAAGGCATTATGGTTATGTTATAAAAGGAAGGGTCAAACCATATTTTGACGAACTATGGTGATTGAAGCATAAGCTACTTGTATTATGGAAGCATCAACTCTTTTTTCCTCCAAGAGGTCTAGATTAGCAAGTAGGTTTTTGCATTATTCAATCTTTCTTGAGGGGCTCTGGTTCGGGTACTTCATACTGTCATTTCTATGGGAATGACTGCTTCTGTTCCATACACCAAACTGAATGGTGGTTCCTTGGTTGGCGCCCGTATTGTCGTTCGGTAATCCGACAACACACTTTGTAATTCATCGAACCAATTTCACTTGGATTGTCCTAATTGTTTATTTATTCCTTTGACCAGAGTCCTGTTGGTGACTTCCATTTGGCCATTCGCCTGTGGGTATGCTACTGAGGTGAAATTCTATTTGATTCCTTTTTCCAAACACCATTTCTTAAATGGTTTCTCTACAAATTGTTTCCCATTATCATTGATAATCGTGTGTAGTATAGTTAATCGACAAATTATCTGTTTCCATGCGAACTTTGCCACATTTTTGCTAGAGATTACTTCCAATGCTTCTGCCTGGGCATATTGGTTAAAGTAATATATGACTGCTATCAAGAATTGTACTCTTCCTGTTTCTTCTGGGAATGGTCCCACAAAATCATTTCTCCATTGAAAAAATAGCCATGGACTAGTGATGCTTATTAAGGCCGTTGGTGGGAGTGTTGGGATGTTCGAGTGTATTTGACAGTCGTGGCATTTTTGGGTGAAATCATTCGTATCACCGGTCATAGATAGCTATAAGTACCTCGTTCGAAGTATCTTCAAAGTGATTACTCTTGATCCCAAGTGTGCTCCACATACCCCTTGTATTTCTGCTATAACGAGTTCTACTTCTCTTTTTGTGATTCACTACAACCATGGAGTAGAGTATCCTTTCCGATATAGCCAATCTTCATACATGGTATATCGTGATGCATTGATCTGAACCTTTCACGCTTCTCCTTCATCCCTAGGAAAAGTTCCTTGTGTAAGGAAAATGATACATGGTGTCATCCAGCAGTCTTCTTCTTCAATGATGGTCAAAGTTTCTATAACTGGCTCTTCAATGCTTCTCTTTGGTAGTACCTCGACTAGCACATTTATTGTGACATGACTAATCACCACTGATGTTAACTTGCTTAAAGCATCTGCCTGTTTGTTTTTTGCTCATGGCACTTGAGTGATCTTGAATTTTTGAAATTTTTGTGCCTATTCTTTCGCCTGGCTCAAGTATTTTTTCATATGTGTTTCTTTCGCTTCATACTCCCCATTAATCTGATTGACTACCAACATAGAATACCTTCGTGCTTCGCGCCAATTGTAAGCCTATGAGCAAAGCCTCATACTTCGTCTCATTTTTTGAACATGAGAATTCGAACCTTAATGCATAAGTCAATTTATCTCCTTGTGGACCGACAAGGATGATTCCAACTCCCGAACCGTCTTTACTCGAAGCCCTGTGGGTGTTCAGTATCCATTCGTTTTTTCTGCACTAGTTACAAATGTTTGGTCACGTGCTAACAATTGAGTTTCTTTTGTATGTGCTAGAGTTTTAGCTTGATCTTCGGGTATTTCTATTAGGCAATCTACCAATTCTTGTCCTTTGACACTGATCCTTGGTTTATAGTGAATGTCATGCTCTCCTAACTCGATTGCCCACTTAGTCATTCGTCTTGACCTTTATGGTAATGTTAGAATTTGCTTGATCATTTGGTTAATCAATACCCGGATTGAATGAGCTTGAAAATATTGGCGTAGTCGTCTAGCTGCAAAGACTAAAGAGAAGACTAACTTTTCAATTATAGAATAACTTCATTCATCCCTTTGCAACACCCTACTTATGAAATAAACCGGCATTTTCTTCTTATCTCTTTTTGCTACTAAAACTGCACTGATCGCTTGCCAATAAGTATATGATCAATGTTTCACTAGTGGCCGGACTTGCCAATGTTGGCAAACTTAAGAGGTGATGTTTTAAAATCCGGAGTGCCTCTTCAGCCTCTACCGACCACTCGATACTGTTCTTCCATGCATGTGTTTTTAATTCTTTGAAAAAGGGCAAGGTTTTCTCTGCGGACTTAGCCAAGAATCTTCCCATCGCGGCTAGTTTTTCATTTACGCTTTGTATGTCTTTCATTGTTTTTGGTGTCTGAGTCTTTAGTAACGTTTCCACCGTTTCTAGATTTGCTTCTATTCCCACAATGGTTATGACATGACCGAGGAACCTCCCTTTTTGCATCCCGAACATACATTTGTTAAGGTTGAGCTTCATATTGGTTTGTCTTAACTGCTTTAGTGACTCCTCTATGTCTGCTAGGAAATTGTCATATCCTTTGTTTATTATCACCATATCGTCAACATACACAATAATGTTCCTTCGTATCTGTTGTTTAAAAACATTATCCACCAACCTCTGGTATGTGACCCCAAATTTCATAGCCCAAATGACATCTTTGTATAACAAAAGGTTCCCTTCTTTGTAAGGAAATCTATTTTATCTTCGTCTGCTATCGCCATTTTCACCTGGTGGTACCCTTTATAAGCGTCTAAAAAGGATTTCCACATAAAACCGCCTAACGACTCGATCTTCTGCTCTATTTCTGGAAGAGGATAACAATATTTCCGGCACGCCTTATTGAGGACCGTGAAGTCGACACATATTCGCATAGTGTCTTCGTGCTTCTTCACTAAGACCGGGTTTTCTATCTATTTGTGAAACTATGTAGCCCTTAAAACTCTTGCCACCACCAAGTTTATTACCTCCTTATTCACTATTTCATTTCTTTCCTTTGCCATCATGCACTTATTTTGTACGATGGGCGTATGACTGGGGTTGATGTTGAGTCGATGCTCTATTACTGACCGAGGGATCCCCACTATGTCTTCAGGTTTCCATGCAAACGTATCTTTTTATCTTTTTAGCAAAGCGATTAAACCTTCTTGCAAACCTTTAGGTAGTTCTACATCTATTTTGATCTTCTGATCTTCGTATTTCGCGTTGGTTACCACTTCTCCAGTGTTCATTGATGCACTCCCTTCTTCTATGGTTAGTTTGGCCATATGGGGTTGTACAACGTGGCTGCCGTCTGGAGGTCCCATTGTTTTAGTCTGGATTATCATGACTTCCCTAATGGAAGGAAATTTAAGTAGGCGGTGTGTCATCGAAGGTATTGCCTATAACTTCCATAGACTTTTACTTCCTAACACCTTGTTATAGGGCGGGTCCCTTATTACGATGAACTCTGTCCAAATGGTCTTATGCATTGATCCCTGTAATCCTTTCGCATGAATGGCAATGATACACTTCCCATAGGCTATACAGATTGACCTGCGAAACCAACGACAACTAACGTGGAAAGTTGTACACAGTTTTGGACGTCTCTTGGCAGGCAATTTAAACAATTTTTGTAAATAGTGTTGACTAAACTTCCATTATCTACGTAGATTCTACGTATTAATGTTCTTCCTCCTACTCCCATAATTACCAGTGGTTCGATGTCGTGTTGGTCAAAAGGTATCCGGTCGTGAAGGTTCAACTCGATGTTAACTGCTTTATGCTTGTTGATTAGGTTACTTTGGGCCTCTCCCCCCCCCCCCTTGTATCATGACAATTTCTGCGTCATACGTTTGTGCTTCTTCCTTTCTTCGAGCTCGCTCCTCTTCTCTCCTAGGTGTTTGACCATTTCCTTTCTCTCTTTTCAAGCTCTCGCAATCTTCGGTTGCATGCCCTAGTTTTTTATGAAAAATCACAAAACTTGTTTAGTTCCTAGATGTACTTCATACTTTTATCATTCTTATCTTCTCTTTTTGAGCATTTGGGGTGTATGCTTCTTGTCTATATCGTTGGTACTGATCATATTGTTTCGTTTTTCCTCTCTAATTGTAATTTCGATTTTAAGGGAAGTGATTGTTGTTATTAATGGACGACTCATGGCACTGTTTGCTCTATTTTTCTCTTCTTCCTCCCCTCGCGACAACTTTTCCCCTGTCCTTGCTTTTTCGGCACTCTATGCTTCCTGTCTTAAGAAGCGACTAAATTTACGTATCATTTCCTCTACTTTTATCCAATCTCAGCCTACTAATTTTAAAAATAAATCTTCTTCCAGAAGTCTATAAGTGAATGAAGCTATGATCACGGGATCATTCCTTCTTGTCCTTTTTCAACTAATCTCATTGAACCACTTAAAGTAAGTTCTATTGGACTCTTTTTCTCTTTGTTGACCAGCGAATATCGCATCCGCTTTCTGCTGGAATTTTCTTTGTTGTAAAAAGCTATTACATAATTTCTCACATAACTTTTCAAAGCTTCCTATGCTTTTAGGGGTAAACTCGCCAGCCAGTACCGAGTAGATCCATCTAAAGTTCCTACAAAGTATAAACACCATAACTTTTGGTCCATCAGATCACTTTAGTATCCCATTGGAATATAGAGATGTGATCATTTGGATCTCCGGTTCCATCATACATCAATACTCTAGGCCCTTCAGCCTTTTTGAGATGGGCGTTTCGTTGATATCGTCTGTGAAAGGAGACCGAAAGTTCAGGTTATTAAAAGCTAGATTGTATCATTTTGCTTCCACTAATTCTGGCGATACTTCTCACTCTTCTGAGTGTTTCTTTTTTGTTTTCTTATGATGAGAGGGAGTCGAGTCTTTCGTTTGACTGGCGTGTATTGAGACTAGATCTCATTCTTTTTCTTTTTGTTTTTTCTACTATTTCTTTCTGCCTGCCGTTTTTTCATGATTTAGAAAATTTTAAAGGCTTCGAATTCCTTCATTTCTTCTTCTTCTTCTTTTTCTTCTTCTTCTTCTTCTTCTTCTTCTTCTTCTTCTTCTTCTTCTTCTTCTTCTAACTATCTTTGGCTCGTTTCCTCTCATTCTTCTTCTGGCTCTTTAAGCATTACGTTCTTGCTTTTTATTACCGTCGAGAATTGTGGTGTTTTTTCGTTTCCCTCGATAGTCTGTATTCTCGTGATAGGACTCGCATTAGCAACTGTGTTTTCGTCATTGGCTATTTGTTGCGGAGTCCCACGGATGGCGCCACATGATGTGCCTCCGGGTTCGCCTTCCATAGATTATAAGGATCGTTGTTCCCTTGTTGATAAGCACAACCTAGAGACAACAATCAAAATCTCGTAAGGTGATTAACCGGGATGTGATCCTGGGCCAACGCTCTGATGATAAATTCAGACTAGGGTTTCTTTACGATAAAGGCGATTTATGGAATAGCGAGGGAACGAAAGTAATTTGGATATAATGATTGAGAAGTGATCAGATTGAGCGTGCATACCTTGTAGAGTGTTCTTTATTTTGCATTTATAGCCAATATTGAGGGGCTATGCCCCCTTTCTACACCGAGCAGGTCTGCGATCATAATGCATTAATGGTAGTACCCCCAAAGGTACTGTCGTATGTACTTGCGAGCCGTTTTTAGAATTTTGGTTCATTAGATTAAGGACCCATCAATCAAGCATCCTTATAAAGGCTATTTTCTATGAGTTCCTATGTATTGTTACATTGTTGTAACATATTCTCGTACTTTATTCGCTATTTCATATGGTTCAACATGTGGCTGGTTCAGTATATGCATGGTCCGATATATACCTGATCCGGTACATGATTGGTTTGGTATATATCGGTTTCGGTATGTAAGAAGGATATACATAGATTTAGCTAGGTTATATCCTATTAAGTCCCCCCCCCCCCCACCCCCACCAGTGTAGGTTGTTAATTTTCATTTAGATAACAAGTCAAACTTTTTAAGGTAACTGTTGAGGCCGTAGAAGAACGGACACCTGGATTAGACGTTGACGTGACGGTTCAACGGCTTGTAGGTTTCATCATTACCTACATTAAACGGCCATTTTGTCCATTCGTGTGAGCGGTTTCCTCTTGATCTCCTTATAAGTAACTTCCGCTTCCTGGTTATTTTTATCACCTTCTAAAACATTCTTCTTCTTGTCTTATTCTCTTTTCCTTGTCTTGATTCAATATGGCTAACAAAGAGGCGTTGAAAATTTGTACCATAAAGTCTAGGCTTTCTCGGAAAACTCTTGTTGATATTGTGAAGAAGTATCACATCTATCCCGACTTCCGCCTTTGTCTTTGTGAACCAGGGAACGCCATCGTTGACGCTTTAGAAGGCTTTGTTGGTGTATACCGAGTATTCTTTAAGTCTTGGCTGTGTCTGCTAGCATTTGATTTCCTAGAGGAAATCTTTGATTATTATCATCTTCACATCACCCAAATTACCCCAAAATGGGTTTCGAAAAATCATTTGATCTGCGATGTTATGCTCTACATTTGATATTGTGCATTCCATCACTCTTTTTCCGTCACTTTACGTTCCTATTTCGAACGGCGATTGGATATCCCTTTATCTTCGTCATGGTTTAGTAGAATCATTTGCTTTGCGATGTTATGCTCTACACTTGATATTGTGCATTCCATCACCCTTTTCCGTCAATTTACGTTCCTATTTCGAATGGTGATTGGATATCCCTTTATCTTCGTCATAGTTTCGTAGAAATCAGTGATACCTTTCCGACTTCCATAAAGTACTGGAACGAGGAATTCTTTTTTGTTTCTTCTACTACTTTTGAGTAAAATCATGTTTCTTATCTTTTCTTATTTCAGAGTCGTGGGTCGGAAGTCGATTATGTAAAAGCTTTGGGCCTGATGAAGGTAAAGTTTAATCCTTTTGGAAGGAGGATATACATAAATCGAGCTAGGTTATATCCTATATATATAATATATATATATATATATATATATATATATATATATATATATATATATATATATATATATATATATCTTTCTCTTTTAATGATTTTGATTATCATTCTTGCATCCGTTTTATATCTTGCACAAATTTGAAATAAACAATACTAACGCAAGAATCCGGGGGATGTATTTTTTAAGGATTGGAAATTTCTTATAAGCCATGTGCCAATTACGTAAGCAACTTAATTTCATAAAAATTAGTATTATTTATAGCCACTTGGGGGATTCTACCCTTGGGGTGTATACATTTTTATTTATGTTTATCCCCAGTCAATATCAATATATAGATATAATTTGAACACTGAATTAGATGAGAGAGGATATATATTACTAAACCTCAGCTACACGCACCTTCTTCAGCCACCTGCAGAAAGCCAAAAAGCACCATCTTCAACCTACTCCAGCCGCTTCTTCGGTGACCCTCTCTGTCTCCTTAAACTTATTTTGAGCAAAAAACGGCAGCAGCTTGCTTTCTACATCTAGTCACCTCCCATATTTTTCTCATCCTCCGCCAAAAACCGTCATGGTCAGCCACAACAGCTTCTTCCCTGCCCAATATCGTTCTCCTGACACTACCATATCCATACATCATGATCACCAAAATCCAAACACGATGTTTTCTTCAGGGGTAAACCTTGAAAGTTACTTAATTCCACTGGAGGAGATCAACCGTGCCACGGAAAACTTTAGTCAGCAAAGGTTTATCGGAAGTGGTGGATTTGGTGCAGTCTACAAAGGACAACTATCTGAGCGCTGGCAAAACCGCATAGCCGCTGTGAAACGGCTAGGTCAGAATAGTTACCAAGGAGAGCGTGAGTTCCGTAACGAGCTTGAGATGACTGTCAGATTACAGAATGAAAACATCATCTCTTTCATCGGTTACTGTGACGAAGGGAGTGAGATGATTATAGTAAATGAATATGCTATCAACGGTAGCCTTGATCATTACCTCGGGGACCCAAATAAGATTGGTTCCATCACATGGACACAACGCCTCAGGATTTGCATTGGGGCAGCAAGAGGACTAAATTACCTTCACTCTGGTCTTGGGGAGCACGACAGAGTGATACACAGAGACATAAAGAGTGCTAACATACTGTTAGATGGCAAATTCGTTGCCAAAATTTGTGATTTTGGCTTGTCTAAATCTGGTCCCAGAAATCAGCCAAATACCGAATTCTATACAAAGGTTGCTGGAACCCAGTTTTACTTGGATCCCACTTACCTTGAGAGCGGCATCCTACGAAAAGAATCAGACTTGTACTCATTCGGTGTAGTGCTCTATGAAATGTTGAGTGGGATGCCGGTTTATAGTAAGAGGACTATTGAATATGATGGGCCAGAGAATCTGATGAATTTCGTCCGACGATACTATCCCGACAAACTAGACAAGTTAATTGATCCCTCCATAAAGGATGAAATTGATGCTCGTTCATTTTATATCTTCAAAGAAATTGCAAATCAATGCATTAGCTACAATTTAAAGGAACGCCCTACGATGGAAACCGTGATTCAGAGGATCGAGAAAGCATTGGATTATCAGGTATGCTTTTTCATTTAACTATATTGAAGGAAATCTAGTTTCATATGCAAGGATGAAAACTATTGTGGAACATACAAAATGATAAATTGCTCTATTATTTTTCATGATGGAGATAGTTTGTTTTAAGCAAATTAAATAATCATATGGGGTCATGATAAATTAGAATAACTTTTGTCAAAGGTATTTTTTCAAAAAGTTTAAAAGTCTTTTTGGTTTTTGTCTTATCAAACTTTCTTTATGAGAAGGTTGAGTATACTTGAATATCATTGACTTTATACGAGTCTGGAAATATAAGTATGATGATCACACGAAGAAGAAATCAATTGAATGTGATATTCTAGTTTTATATAACTAAAAAACATGATCTTTGTAAATATTCCTTAATTAACTGTAATTATTTTAAGTAATTAAATTAAATAATATTATACAACCTTCCTAATTTTACTGAATTTTACCGTGGATCGTAATTAACTAATAAATAATAGATATCAGATCTAATCCTGATAATATATCAAAATTGGTGACACATTATTTTAAAAAATAATACATTATCTTCTCTTTCTCTCTCTCTCATATATATATATATATATATATATATATATATATATATATATATATATATATATATATATCATCCACATATTTATTTTGCCGCAAAACTCTTAGGCATATCGGCGGAAATAAATAACGGATACACATGTGTTTTCCAATCAAACTGTTAGGATCGAGACAGTTAACACACGACTCTAAACACACACACAGCTCACGAAAAACAAGAACACAAGGATGAACATGAGGGATTTAACGTGGTTCGGTCCTTCTCTGACCTGCGTCCACCCGTAACTAGGAATTTACATTTCTTGATGCTAATCTGCACTCTTTCTGTGTTACACTAGATACAAGTTTTACAAATACAGAATAATCTCTTATATAGAGATGGAAATCAGAAGTAGTCAAAAAACACAACTGGGTCTTCATTCAACAATTGTGGCTTCACAACTTCACATTGTTCCTGCCATTTTTGACCAGCTTTTCTGTGGATTCACACTCAACATTTCTGTGGATTCACACTCAACATTTTTGTGGATTCATACTCAACAATCTCCCACTTGAAGCCACGGAACAATCTTCACCTGTGCTTCAACTGTGCATCTGTATTTGATCTTAACTCCTTCCTAGTTACCCTGGCCTTCTCTTCAATTATCCTGAAGGCCAGTTGAAGCTTTCGTTAGCTCCAACACATCAGTCATGGCTAAGTCTGCCACTGACCTGTTCTCTGTCTCCATCGGCTCCCACTGAAATGAACTGCCCGATCCTGGAACATCCTGAGAACAAACGACACTCTCCATGTGAAGCAGATAATCTGGAGAGACTATTACAGATGGAATACTGGTTCTCTTAACCCACTGTGTTCTGGGTATTCTAGCTGAAACAAAGCCCATGCTCCCACTGCTATGAATGCCCTTGACTGGTTTTTCTGAACCGTTCCAAACACGTTCAACCTGAATTTGACCTGTGACTCTGGGTTTGCCATCTGCAAAGCAAACCTTCTTCTGTCCACGAGACTCTATGAACCGGATTTTGTTTTTCTTCTGAACTGGGACAGTTACTCCCTCAGACGGTAAACTGACCATATATAATGAACCCCTCTTATGTCCACGAGCTATCACAAGATTTCTTTTGACAACCTTCCACTGCCCATTCCTGAACTTAACCTCGTGTCCCTGTTCATCCAACTGCCCAACAGAAATCAACTGTTTCTTCAGACTTGGAATTACCCGGACATCCTTCAAAGTTCATGGACCAACTGGAGTCTTCAAAACTAAGTCACCTATGCTCGTCACATCAAGAACCTCATCGTTCGCCAGTCTTACCTTACCAAAATCTCATTCTTTTAGGTTCTGCAGTGCTTCACGGCTGTGGGTAGCGTGAAATGAAGCACCCGAATCCATAACCCAGGAATCCACATTGCTCTCCACACTACAGATCAAAACATCATCATCTGAATGGTCTACTGCAACGTTAACTTCTTTCTTGTCTTTTGGACATTGATTTCTGAAATGTCCAACCTCTTTACAGTTCCAACAAGTCACATCATTTCGAGTCCTCGACTGACTCTTTCTCCTGTTCCCGCTCCCACTACCTCTGTTATTTCTTCTACCTCTGACCGCATTCAATTGTTCACTTGATGATTCCCCGGAATTTCTTCGTCTGACGTCTTCGCCTAGAATTAAATCCCGAATTCCCTCAAAAGTGAGCTCTTTCGATCCTGTGGAACTAGTAACGGCTGTAACTGTTCCGGACCAACTGTCAGGTAATGATGATAACAGTAGTAAAGCTTGAACTTCGTCCTCAAATTTTATTCCCACTGACCCAAGTCTGGATAAAATCGAGTTCAAATTGTTGATGTGTACTGTAACTGAACTTCCTTCCCTCATCCTCGTGTTGACTAGTTCCCGAATCAGGAAGACTTTATTTGCTGCCGACGGCTTCTCGTACATATTAGACAACGCCTCCATGATTCCCTTTGCCGAGGTCTCCTTCAAAATGTTGAAGGCAACATCCTTTGACAATGTCAGTCTAATAAATGTCTTGGCCTTCTTATCCAGAGTCTCCCAGTTTGCTTGTGTGATCGCCTCCGGTTTTTCACCTAAAACTGCGTCCAAGTCTTTCTGTACGAGCAAATCTTCAATTTGCATCTTCCACCAACCAAAATCTTTCCCATTAAATTTCTCAATCTGAAGCTTATTGCTTTCTGCCATTTTCTGAAAGAACAATGACCTATTTTGCAATTTTCTGGAAATTCAGGGGCCAAATTGCAAATTTTCAAATTTGCTACAGTGTCTGCTGACGTCACCGCTGACGGCGTGCTACAGTGTCTGTTGACGTCACCGCTGACGTCGTGCTACAGTGTCTGCTGACGTCACCGCTGACGTTGTGCTACAGTACATCTACAGTACCGCTACAGTGTCGTCTTCTCCGTCAGAACTTCGGTGCTACAGTGTCGTCTTCTCCGGCAAGTTCAGGCGCTACAGTGTCGTCTTCTCCGGCGGAACTGGTTTTTCCGGTCACTATTCCGGCAAACCTTTGACCGGCGATTTGGACGTCTTCCGGTGGTCAAAAAATTCAGAAAAAAATATTTTCGGAATTTTCGGAACGAGACCTTTCCAACGGTATACACCAAAATCGTTTTTGACGAAAAAAAATTTCGACCAAAAAACTGAAAATCACCTTCTGGAGCTAAAACCTTGCTCAGATACCACTTGTTAGGATCGAGACACTTAACACAGGACTCTAAACACACACACAGCTCACGAAAAACAAGAACACAAGGATGAACATGAGGGATTTAACGTGGTTCGGTCCTTCTCTGACCTACGTCCACCGGTAACTAGGAATTTACATTTCTTGATGCTAATCTGCACTCTTTCTGTGTTACACTAGATACAAGTTTTACAAATACAGAATAATCTCTTATATAGAGATGGAAATCAGAAGTAGTCAAAAAACACAACTGGGTCTTCATTCAACAATTGTGGCTTCACAACTTCACATTGTTCCTGCCATTTTTGACTAGCTTTTCTGTAGATTCACACTCAACATTTCTGTGGATTCACACTCAACATTTCTGTGGATTCATACTCAACACAAACATGTTTCCTTAAGTTATTCTAATCATTACCTTAATATGCACAAAAACATTTTTTTTTGTTTTTTTTTATTATTTTTAGAATGCTATTTTTATTGAAAAATTATTTTAAATATATCAAAATTCATAATCTTTTATTCTCTATAAATAAACATTCATATTGATATAGTTTTAAAATAAAATAATTTTTTTTAGAGTTTCAGGTCTCGTCGTTATAAGTGAATAAAAATCAATCAAATTTTCATTATAGTATATTCGTTATTCACTTATGAATAAAACGTATGTTTAACTTTTTTATAGTTTGAGTATCGTCCATATATGAATATAACATGTAATAAATTTTTCTTACTTAAAATGTATTTTTTACATCATCTTTCGTCATATATTATATTTATATGAATAAAACGTATATTATTTGTCGTCATATTTTATATTCATATATGAATAAAACATTTATTAAATTTTTGTTACAGTTAATTTGTTATTTATATATGAATAAATAGTATAAAGTATACTTAAACTGTAAAAAAATAATCATATTTTTTATTCATAAGTGAATAACGAATGTACTGTAGTAAAAATCTGATGCATTTTTATTCAGTTATGAATAACGATAGCTAAAAACTATAAAAAAATATAAATTTTAATTTATCTTAAAACTATATCAATATGAATATCTATTTATAGAGAATAAAAAATTATGAATTTTGATATATTTAAAATCATTTTTCGAAAAAAATAACTCCTTAAAAAATAAAAATAAACGAAAAAAAATATGTTCATATATATATATATATATATATATATTATATATATATATATGTAATGATTAACATATTTAAGGAAACATGTTTTGTTGGAAAACATATGTATTGTTTTCCATATATATATATATATATATATATATATATATATATATATATATATATATATATATATATATATATATATATATATATATATATATGGTTAGGTTCATGTGAGACGGCCTAGTTATGTAAGACCATGAGACGCAATCTTAACTACTCATTTTGTATAAATAAATATTTTTAAAATTCAAAAAAAATTAAAAAATTTTGAAAATTTTTCATTCAAATATTATTTTCGTTATTTATATTTTCAAAAAAAATTACCAAAAAATATAAAAAAAAAATACAATTTTTTTTACATATTTTAGTAGAATATTAGAGTATTTTACATATCTAACAAATGTATTAGAATATTCTAACATTCTAAAAATCACATTAGAATATTTACACTGTGATATTCTATTAGAATATTTTTAGATATTTCCTTTTATTTTGCATTTTAAATTTATATTTAGATTGCGTCTCACGGTCTCACAAAATAGCATGGTCTCAAATGCACCTGAACCTAAACTTATATATATATATATATATATATATATATATATATATATATATGGAAAAAGTGAATATACCCTTAAGTGCGTATATAACCTTAGGCATCCAAACTCACCATACTACGTAGTTTTGTATTAAATGTATATATTGTAATTGTTCAATGTTCTTATAGGGGTAAATTTGTTAATTGTAATTCAACAGGTTGGTGTTGTTCTTCGTTTGACGTTTTGTTTCCTTTTGTTTCTTTTACCCCGCCTTGTTTCCTTTATAGGTGTTGGGTTTAATAAATTTCCGCCGGTTCCAAAAAATTTAAAGCTAGTTAGTTTTGCCCTGCCTTGCTTCCTTTATAGGTGTTGTTCTCCGTTTAACGTTTTGTAACTCTTTTTTTTTTATACTTTTATATGTTCAAAACTGTGTTTTACTTCTAAAACACTAAAAAGTCAGATTATTGAACAAACTACAAACTAGATTGAACAACATTAAATCCATTTAATCAACCAATAAATCACAAGATTTTATATAAACAGAAAATATAAAAAGATTAAACAATATATTAAGAATATTTAAGGAAAATCCGTTCTTTGACCACAACCTTCAATCATCACCATTAACCACTACTATCATTGTCGTCGACAACCACTAACCGATGGTGACAACTAACCACATGGGGGGGGGGAGAGAGAGAGAGAGAGAGAGAGAGAGAGAGAGAGAGAGAGAGAGAGAGAGAGAGAGAGAGAGAGAGTCCGCCACTTACCACTGCCATCGCTGCGTTAGTTAGTCCGACTACCAAAATCTGTCACCGATGGACCACCGAAATCGCCGGAGAAAAGATGGAATCTTCTTAATCTGTTGTTTTCGGGCTACCATGATAGAGACTAATGTTGGACCAACATCAACGTCGTTGGAGCGTCAGAGGAGAGAGGCGATATTCGTAATCCGATGTGGTTGAGAAGTTGAAAACGTTGCCGGAAATCCAGATAGAATATCCCACTCTCTCATTTTGACGGAGTTTGGAGTTTGTGATGGGGTTAAAGATACAAACCTCTTATATCGAAAACTTTTACACTAAAAGCCTACGAATTAAAAAGATTATTTCATTTTATACATCTAACTTTATACATTTTATAACACATTTATTTATTTTAATAAAAAACATCAACCTTTTAACCAAAAATTTATTTAATATCCTTTAGGAACTCTTTGGTTTAGTTTCAATATGGGGAAATGATATAAATGACCTATGAAGTTTCTAAGATTGGTCCATTTAGTCTCAAATTATTTTTGTTGCTTTATCAGGGAACAAACTCTAGGCAACCTGTTTTTTTATTTAGTCCCCTGGACTGTTTGGAGTGCCACATCCATATTATATGCCATCAACTATGACATGGCAACCAACTTACTTGACTATTCCAAAATCATAGACAAACTGAAATAAATAATTTCTAATCCGACTGCTTCGTCTTCTTCTTCTTATACATCTAACTTTATACATTTTATAATTTCTGCACACATTTATTTATTTTAATAAAAAAACATCAACCTTTTAACCAAGAATTTATTTAATATACTTTAAGAACTCTTTGGTATGGTTTTAATATGGGGAAATGATATAAATGCCCTACGAAGTTTCTAAGATTGATCAATTTAGTCCCTAAATTATTTTTGTTGTTTATCAGGGAACAAACTCTAGGCAACCTGTTTTTTTAGTCTCCTGGACTTGTTTTGCCCAGTTTGGAGTGCCACATCCATACTATTTGCTATCAGCCATGACATGGCAACCAACTTACTTGACTATTCCAAAATCATAGACAAACTGAAATAAATAATTTCTCATCCTGCTGCTTCGTCTTCTTCTTCTTTACAACCTGAATTCGTCTTCTTCATCTTCATAACCTGCTTCTTCTTTCCCCGTCACCATCTTTTTTGATTCTGATTGTGATCCATTTGGGTTTCCTCCTTTTACACAACTCTGTTATCTCTATGACTTATCCGCCAAGTGTTTGATTCTATGCCTCAGAGAGTTTGATGAACTCGTGGAATAAGCTTAAAGATGGTATTTCGTCCTAGACTTACAACCTAGATATTTGTCTTTTTCTACCTTCTTACTTTCGAGCTTGAAGCATAAATTGGAGATGAAGGTCTGAGTCGAGTTTATTTGAGATAATACAAAATGTTTTCTTCCTTCTTAACTAATTAAGATTAAGAAGATACCTCATGAAATTACATAAAATAATATACAAAACTTCATTATTAGTGAAATAAACCCCTCGGTTTTTAGAAAATCATGTTCATAACTAGCAATCGGTATCATTAAACTGAAATATTAAGCAGAGCATGTAACATATAATGCATACAGTACAACAACTAAGGCACAAGGTACAATGTCAAAGGAAATCAACTATAATCGTTCATGGCGACGAGTTGATAGTTCAGAATTGCAATCATAACTTCGATGTCGGAGCCGACAAGCGCACTCATCGTCGATTACTCGACATCAAACATCTTCACTTTAGTAATCTTGTTGTTTTTCAACATCTGAACTACCGTTTTCGGATCCATCTTATGCGTCGCCATCGTCCCCCATTTCACATTCAAATTTTCAATTTAAGCAGAGAATCAATCGAATGACAAATTTGGTTGATGAACTGGAATAAAACTTTATGGTTCAATACTTGAATCAAATGAAAGATTTTTAGATATTGGACACATAGGGTTACATGTAAGTGAGTGTGGGTTAATTAAGATTTCAACAAAGAAATTATCGGTCAACGTGATAGTCAACATATACGGGGTGAACCGGCAAAATTGTTACCAACCGTTTACCCCTTCAGATCTTCCAAAATGACCATTTGGAGCCGACAAAAACAACTTCGTGCCCCTATAAAGCTACAAAAAAAAAATTAGAAACCAAATAGATCAACCCTAGAAACTCCGTACGAAATTTATATCATTTCCCCTTTTAATATTTATGCAATATTATATTTATATATTTGTTGTGATTTTTGTGTATACATGTTGTAATCAACATGTTTTATCGTTTTAATATAACATGTTTTATTTTAGAAATTTAAAAAATATTAAAAATATTTAATTAAATACTTTTAAAATATCATTTATATATATAGTAAAAAAGTATTAATCAATACTTTATAATTTGCTGATAATTATAGTTAGAAATATAATTATTATAGATAAAAAGCTATAATGATAGTCTAATCATTGTAATCATTTAAAGAAAAAAAGTTAATATAATGGTCATGGTTATTGATAGACTATTAAGGGGGTATGGATAGTCCATGTATTTTTTTTCTTGTATCACTCAATATACAATGTTCATTCATAAATCATATTCTAGAAAACGTTTTATTTTTAGGCCCTTGGCCAATCACCAATATGTCATGATGACATGTTAGTTTCGTATCTTTCACAGTTTGCATTTAGCCCCAACATTTACATACATGTTTGTAATTAGCCGCAACATTTATGTATGGGTTTGCATCTAGCCCCAACATTTTTTAGTTCCCCGTTCACCATAATTTTTTAGAAAAAAATTCATTTTAGCCACTGACCAGTCATGAATAGGTATTTTAAAACATAATAACTTAAAATGAAAAAGGAAAAAACAAAGCAAGAGTCGAAGCTGTGACTTCTCCTTAAGGGTAGGACGTGTTAGCTAGCAAGCCAATGATTTTTTTTTGGTATTATCAGTGTTTGTTGTATTTAATACACACATGAATTTTAAAATGAAGGAAAAAGACCTAGTGTATATCTCATGTCTAAGATATCTAATAAACGATGTGACATGTTAATCTTTGAGCCAATAAAAATTGTCATTTCTTTGGTGTCTCAATAAATATGTCATTAGAAATATTTGGTTTCTCAACAAATATGTCATCAGAATAATCAATTTTTTCTTAGATGAGTTACCAATGAATTAAAGTTTGGATTGCTTAAAGATTAGCATGTCATAATGTTTATTAGATGTCACAGACTCAAGACTTACACTAGGTTTTTTCTTTTATTTTAAAATGCATGTGTACATTAAATACAACAAACATTGATAATACAAAAAGAAAGTCATTAACTTTTTAGCTAACACGCTCCTCGAGGAGAAGTCGCAGTTTTGACTCTTTAAAAGGATTTGGTTTCTTAACAATATGTCATTAGAAATAGCCAATTATTTCTTAGATGAGTAACGAATGAATTAATAAATTTGATTGACTCAAATATTAACATGACATGTTGTTTATTAGATAACACGAACTCATAACTTACACTAAGTCTTTTCCATCATTTTAAAATAAATGTGTACATTAAATACAACAAACAAACATTGATAATACAAAAAAAGCCTTCGTATTTTCCTTTTTTTTCCATTTTTTTCATTTGTAGTTATTACATTTTAAAATACCTTTTCGTAGCTGTCTAATGGCTAAAATGAAATTTTTTCTAAAAAATAATGGAAAATAAGGGAAAAAAATGTTGAGGCTAAATGCAAACTCATACGTAAATGTTGTTGCTGAATGCAAACTCATAAGTAATGTTGGTGATAAATGCAAACTATGAGACATACGAAACCGACACATCATCATGACCGGTCACTGACCGGCCAAAGGCCCAACAATAAAATGTTTTATAAAATATAATAGCTAACGAAGAACAAAAAATAAAGTTAGGGCTAAAACAGAACAATGTTATAAATATAATGGTTTTTGTGGAATAAACCCTATATCAAACTAATATAAAAAGAATGTTGAAGCATTACTTATTCCTGCAGGATGGTGTCGGTTACCTTTTTGATTGTCTAACACAAAACATGGGATTCAGTGATGGCAAACCTATTGCAGCATTTACCGTCTACAAATGCCTTCTCCATTGGAAATGTCTTGAAGCTGAAAGAACTCCTGTACTTTGTCGACTTATACATATTATTAATTCCGCGATTGAGGTACTTATTAGAAATCAATTTATTGAATGGAATCAGCTTCATTTTAATTGATTACATTAATCTAGTCATGTTGAATTCAAGCTAACAATAACTAAGTATGGAGTAACTTGCTGTTATTGGGAACAAAATATATGGGAGAATCCCTATCCCCCAAAAAATAATAATAATAATAATAATAATAAATAATGTTTTTAGTTTTCCCTCATGTTGAATTTGCGTTTGTGGGTGGATTTTTTTTTGTGGGAAGGAGTAAAATTACAAGAAAAATGGAGATTTAAGTGTTGTTTGTTTTTTTGTAAAAACCTCTTCAAACCTCTTATTGTTGTGCGGCACAGCATACGCACAACACTTTTAATCTTGCAGCTGTTTGTTTTTAGAAGTTTTAAGAGTAAAAAATCTCTGGTTGTGTTCTGTTTCGCGCAACACTTGTATTACCTCTTCCAACATTTTCTTCTTCTTTTTTTCTTGTTAAAATCTTGATTATATGTTGTTAAAATCTTATTTTACCTTTTTTTTGTTTTTTTATTTATTCTTGTTGAATTCTTTTTTTTCGATTTTTGATATTGAATAATGATTATTTCTTGATGAAATATTATTACTTTTTGCTTTTGTTGAAATATCATTATTTTTTGCTGAAATATCATAAATTTTTGCTCAAAATGTCATACACTATTAATTTTTTGGTTTTAAAAAAATACTTCGGTTTATAAAATCAGTTTATTTTAGTTTTTTAATATCTGCAACAGCATGCAGATGTTAAAAAAACAAACACGCTTCTTATTACAGTTTGCAGCCATTTGGCCCACCTCTTCTACTGCAGAGGGTTGCAGAGGTGGTTCGCAGAATTCATGAATTTTTGCTTCAAAAAAACAAAGCACCTCATTCATTTAACTCCTCCTTAATTCTATATTTTCTTTTTTATTGAATCCGGTGTTTTCAAATTACAGTAGAAAAACTGAACATATTTCCAGGATAATTTTAATTGCAATGTAAAGCAACTTTATTGCAGGATCGAGATAACAACCATCAGATGCCGTATTGGTTATCAAATGCGTCTGTTTTGTTATTCTTAATCAAAAAAGGTCTAAAACTTGATGGTGCAAGTTCTTTTCCAAAACCACCACCTCAAACTTCTAGTTTAGGAAGTTTGACAATGGTATCAATTTAATCTTATTGTTGGTTTTATCCTTTTAAATAATATATAGATGTTCCATGATATGGTTTTCTAATAATAGATTTACTATATTCTTCCCTGTTTTCTACCGACATTGCTCAGGCCAAGGCTAAGGCTGCACCTATGGTAGGACAACACACTGAAGCCAAATACCCAGTTTTGATTTTCAAGTTACAACTAGCAACATGTGTAGAGAAAATTTATGGCATTATTCGTGACAACTTGAAGAGGGAAGTGGGATTATTACTTGACTTATGTATTGCGGTAGTTGAACTTCGATTCATCCTCACCTATAATGCTGTGTTAGAAAATACATTCCTAATTTTATTTGAATGACTTTCCATATCGCCTATGATGCATGCAAACTTATTATAACCGTGAAAATTTAGGAACCAAAAATCTTCAACCGAGCGCCGACACCTACACAGTCAATTGCAAAAGAGTCATGTTTCAGACACTGGCTAGGCATGATTGATCATCTCAACACTTTCCTCAACACAATGGAAGACAATTTTGTATGTGAATTATCAATGGCCTCTTGTTTTTCCTTTAAATCTCAGGGATAGTTATAAAAGTTTTAGTTCTTTTCAAGAAAACACAAATACGTATTTCGTTAGTTTGTAAACATGGATACAAACAAACACCACCTAACTTTTAAAATTGCATAAAAGTGGATTGAATTTTTTTCGGAACATAATTTTTGGCAAATTTTCTCATATAGTTGCATTTCAGGTGCCTCCTATACTTGTTCTGAAGATATGTATTCAAGTTTTCACATATATCAACGTCAAGCTCTTTAATAGGTGTTTGGTTACTCAACTTTCCCTTTTTTTAGGTCCTTTTCTTTGTTTCCTATCATAAATATTCTTTTGCAATTCTGCAGCGTTCTAGAGGACAGGGAGTGTTGTAGCTTCAGCAATGGGAAATATTTGGAAGGCGGTGTAGCAGAGTTGGAGATATGGTGTTTAGAGGCGAAAGAGGAGGTAATACTTTATTCTGACCTTTCTCATGTTTTTTTTGGTAAAACATTTCTCATCTATATATATATATATATATATATATATATATATATATATATATATATATATATATATATATATATTTTGTTTGTTTTTGTAAAATGACGTACGTAGCCCCCTAAATTTAATTGAAAAATAAAGTACATAGTACAAGTTCGGTGTTAAATATAATCATGGGATTTTCTATAACTACCCCTCCTCATTTTCCAATCTTGTTGGTTTTTTTTTTGTTTTTTTTTTTCCATTTTGTTTTTTTTGTAGTTTTTAATTATTTTTTAATTTACTACATTTATTATTTATTATTATTATTATATTTTAATATTATTATTATTATTATTGTTATAAATTTCGTACAAAATTTTAACATTCGGACGACATAATAAATTCGAACGGCTATATAAAATCGGTTTTTAAATATTTTTTATATTTTAATATTAATATTATTATCGTTATTATTATTATAAATTTCGAATGATATTTTATAAATCAGATATTATAAATTCGAACGACTATATAAAATTGGAATAGAAACAAAGTTTGTGCCTATTAATTACGAATATTAATTGGTATTGTATTATAATTGCGTGCTGCGTTATGCGAATTGAAAACATTTAGTCAATCAGTATACAATGTTTCCAATTTTATATAGCCGTTCGAATTTATAATGTCCGGTTTATAAAATGTTTTTCGAAATCTATAATAATAATAACAATAATAATATTAATATTAAAATATAAAAAAATATTTAAAAACCGATTTTATATAGTCGTTCGAATTTATAATGTTGTCCGAATTTTAAAATTTTGTCCGAAATTTATAACAGTAGTAATAATAATAATAATAATAATAATAATAATAATAATAATAATAATAATAATAATATATAATAATAATAATACAAATTACAAAAGAATTAAAATAACAAAAAAAACTAAATAGAAAAAAAAAACAACAAAAAAAAAAAAAAAAAAAAAAAATGATGTCAAATCAAATGTTATATTGACTTTAAGGGGGTAAAAATGGTTAAGGGGGAGGGGGTACTTAAGCACAACCCTTTGAGAATTGAAGACCAGTAGTAGCTAGTTGACTTATCAATAACTAGGTTGGCTGTGTCAATTAGCTCGTGTAATGGAGGCTCAGTTCTAGCTAGGTTTATGTTTCACTTTGCCTATAAATAAATATTAATATTTAGGGTTTCAGTGTAGTCGATTAGCAAATAAAAAAATATTGCATCCTTCACATGGACATAGTTCATCCTGACCAAACCATATATATATATATATATATATATATATATATATATATATCTATATATATATATATATATATCGTGTGTTTTCCTTACAAGTGGTATTAAAATTACGATTGCTCTATCGATTGAAGAGAGATTGTCCCACAAAATTGGGATGAAGAAATCCAATAGCTTTATTGACTTCACTTTATGGAAGGTGAAGATCCTTCACACACACATAGTTCATGTGACCAAACCATATATATATATATATATATATATATATATATATATATATATATATATATATATATATCGTGTTTTTCCTTACAAGTGGTATTAAAATTACGATTGCTCTATCTATTGAAGAGATATTTTCCTACAAAACTCAGATGAAGAAATTCAATAGCTTCATTGACTTCACTTTATGGAATGTGAAGATGAGGGATCTTCTGGTTTAATAGGGTTTAAAGGCATCTTTGGAAGGATAATTCTGGAAGATCCCTAGCCTAGTACTAGCATGTTGTGCTAACTTATCACATAATCAAATAACTGGTATGGTATTTTGGGGTTTACTTACTGGCTCCGGCTGATCGTACACTCCGCCTCCTCCTTAGTTATTTTAAAAACCATTTCGAATTTTATTTTTAAAATCTTTCCTTGATTTGAGACTGGATTCACACGAGTGTTCCTCCAATTTGCTCAAACCAAGGCTCTAATACCAACTTATAACACCCATAAAATTTAAGCCAAATTTAAACTTTCCAAAAACATTTAAAAACCAATAGTTACTACAAGTTTGTTTCCAAAATAGTCTTTATCAGAGTTTTCCCATAATACATATCAAAATGTGAGGAGCGGTACGATCACGCCTTTGCCTTGCCTCAATCCCCTGATGTATCTGAAACAATAAACTGAAACTGTAAGCCCGAAAGCTTAGTGAGTTCCCCCAAAATACCCATACTCACAAATATACATATTATCATAAACACAATATACAATGGGTCCAGTCAACCATCGGGTTGGAATACCCCAGGCCCTCAACCAGCAGGTTGGAATGCCAACACACTATGGGTCCAATCATCCTCGGGATGGAATACCCCAGGCACTCAACCAATATGTTGGAATGCCCCGGTCTATTGGCCTCCGCACGAAGCAGATAAACCTCAACCACCAAACAGACATGTGCACATGTAACAGATAATCACATAACAGTCTACAGACAAAACTGATCTAACAGATCATACCACATAGCTCATCATATCATCCTATCTACCAGGATACCAATCTAACAATTCATACTACGTATCATATAACATTATCCTACCCTCTAGGATACCGATCTAACAGATCATACTAGCATAACATAACCATATACATTCCAAAGGGCCGGCCTTGGTGCCTTAGACCCTTGAGTATAGTGAGGATAACTCACCTTGCAATGCCAACCCGCAGGAATAAGCTCAAACTCTCGGATTACTGACACGAACACCACCACCTATATTTATTACGAACCAAACTCGTAAATCTCCAATCTTTCCAAAACTATCCTCAAAAGTCAACGGGTCAACCCATGGTCAAAGTCAAAGTCATCAGTCAAGGTGAACAGTCCATGTTGACCTTAACTCGTCGAGTACCCTCAGCTGCTCGCTGAGTTTCTTTAACACTCGCCCACTCGCCGAGTCACCAGAGTGACTCGTCGAGTTCCTAAGGCTCGCGATCGAAGCTCTGAGACCACTTGTCGAGGTTTCCCTCGCACAACTCGACAAGTTTATACACACCTATCGATTTGGGAAAACCCTAACCGACTCACCGACCCGCTCTACAGGATCGCCGAGTCTAAGGCAATCTTCATCAGACTCGCCGAGTTGTTCATCCAACTCGTCGAGTCCATGACCATCTTCAAATGACTCGCCGAGTCGACCATGCGACTCGCCGAGTAGCTTGAATCCCTCATCCATACAGAAGCTTTTAAAGTCATGTAAAGGCTCCAAACTGCAGATCTAAGCTTCTAGGGCATGATTATCACGTAAAGTTGCAAACTTTACGTGCATGCAAGATGGTATGACCCAAAACAAGCTAAAAGGAGTGGCTTAAGGAAATGGGATAGGTCATAGCTTGGCAATTACTGAACTTTATGATAAAGAGAGCCTAAAAGAGCCCAGATCTGAGGTTGTAACCTCAGATCTTGACCCAACACAGAGAATCACCACAAAACCCTAAAAAGGCTCTAAACCCAACCATGAGGGGTTCTACTCAAAGGAGAATCAAGGTAACAACTTGTTACCTTCAAAATGATGCCAACCTAAAGAAGAATCCGGATCTACAATAGCCACTAGCTCCAACTTCTTGTACTCCAAGCTCTTAACTCCAAAGGATCTTCTTTCAAGGTCAAGAACACACACAAAAGAGGGCAAACACGAATTACGGTTTTCTGGGTTCAAGAGAGGCAGTAAGAGAGGCTAAGGAGAATATATGATCCTTAAATAGGGTGCCCAAACCCCGAGATTTAGGGTTTCATCTGCCAGCTCCTTACTTGGACTCGTCGAGTAGATCACTAAACACGCAGACCAACCCGCTGCTACTCGACGAGTGGGGCTACCAACTCGTCGAGTAGACCTTGAAATCAAGAAAGTTCTTATGTAAGTCAATTACCTGAAGATCAGGGCGTTACATAAGACGTTGAAGAAGGATATTATGGAAAAAACATCCTTACTATTGAACTGTTAAAGGAGGTTGTCGATCAAACTACTGTTGCTGGGATTTGGGAGAAACTTTGTAATAAGTATTAGAACAATTCTCTCACAAATTGACCCTATCAGAAGTAATGTTAGTACCCAAATAAATGATCATCTAGACAATTTTAAGCATATTATACTTGATCTATAATGTGTTGACATTAAAATGATGATAGGGATCAATCTCCTATTTTGTTGTGCTCTCTGTCAAAATTTATGAGTATTTCGTTAATACCATGTTGTATGGTAGAAAAACATTTAATATCAATGATGTAATGGATTCCTTATTGTCAAAGGAACTAAAGCATATAATTTTTGGTAATGAAGAAGATTTCGGTTGAGATTTATTTGTTGGCATGGGTAAAATACGAGAAAGAAATAGTGCAAACATGGGTAGTCTCATTCCAAGCCTAAATCTCCCTTTAATATTAGATGTAATAATTGTCATGAAAAATGTCACTACAAAAGATATTATTCAAAAATAAACAAAGGTAATTTCAAAGTTGAATCAAGTAGTAATAATAGTGTTGACATGTTTATGAGACTTCATAAGGAAACATGGACGTCATTTTGGCTATATGCATGAATAATTCTACAGATGCTTGGATCTTGGATTCGATTGAATCTCACAATATGACTTATAATCATAAGTATTCGAATCTTTTAAAGAATGGGAGTGCACAGTGATGGTATGACCATAAAATTTTATTACTGGTATGTTCTTGAAATTTGGAAGAACCAGCAAAGGTGATCTTGTAGTTATGAAGGGAAAGCTACAACATGGGACTTATTTTCTAGAAGGCTACACAATTAGAAGAGCAGTGGTTGTATCCTAATCTTCGGAGCACCATGATAATAAAATAGGGTTATGAGATCATAAATTATGGCACATGAGCGAGAATGGCATGTCGATCTTGAGTAAACAATGGTTGTTTGGTGGACACATAACTAGAAAAGTAAAATTCTTCGAATGTTGTGTCAAATGAAAGCAACAT